ATTTTTGCTCATTATATTATACTTGGCATCCCCAAGTTTATTTAGTAAAACACTGACATTTTCTATAATAGGAGGCAAACATTTAGAGCTGCTTTATATTGGCCCTATCAGTAACAGTTCTCTTTTGGTACCAGAACTATATTTGTATGGCTATTACAAGTTTTTCATAAAATAAGGTGAAGTAAGAAAAATGGAAAAGAAGCTGGGTGTGGTGGCACATGTCTGTAATCCCAGTGGCTTGGGAGCTGAGGCAGGAGGATCACAAGTTCAAAACTAGTCTCCACACTTAGAGAGGTCCAAAGAAACTCAGTGAGACCCTGTCTCTAAATAAAATACAAAAAAGGGCTGGGAATGAGGCTCAGTGGTTAAGTGCCCCTGGGTTCAAGTCTCAGTACGCCTCCCTCAAAAAAAGATAAAAATGAAAGTATGGATACAGGCAGAAGTTTCAAGAACTTAATTACCATACGTCTATCAATAATCAGATATGCTGAAATTGATATGTTTCCTAGACAAAAACTGGTCCAATCGTTTTTGTGGGAAAAAAAGGAAAAAAAAACTTAAAGACATATTATTAATGATCATGCATAAGAGAAAAAAATTCATTCAGCATATATGCTTTTTCATTTATTTAGTATAATCAACTTGAATACACATTTAGGAAATGTACTAGAAGAAACAGCTTTATATTTTGAAACAACAGTTGCTGTGGACTACATTTATATCACCCTTGAATTCATATGTGGAAGTTCTAATTCTCAATGAAAGTAGAGTTTTTACCATCTGACCATGTTTTAGAGTCCAAAAATCATTCACTTAAAACACTTGACTTCACATTATGGCCTCCCCTCTGCTCCTCACTTTTCTAAGAGCCGATTCTCAACCACAACACGTGAGTATAAAGATGCTTTTCCTGCATCTATGCCCAAGCTACAAAACACTGCTTTAAAAAAAAAAAAAAAAAAAAAATCACATTCAGATCAACCCCTACTAAACCATCATTTTCTTCACTTGTCAATTCCTTAGTATATACCGTACAAGGGCTACTCCAAGTTTCTTCATCTCATTTTCAGAAGATGGATGGTTTGATTACTAGATTCATAATGGTTTTAAAAATAAAGAATTTCAGATATTACATCCAACTCCCTCCTTTTACATAAGTGGAATTTATAACTGAAAGAACTGTAGCTGTATGAAGTGACTCAACTAATTTGAAGCTTCTTAATCACCTCAGTTTTAGCATATTTAGTACATTCTGATCAATCCTTTCTGCCTCAAAAGCAGATCTACAGAGAAGTTAAGGGGTCAGCCTGAAGCCAGACTGCCTGAATTCAGTTCCAGCTAGACTGATTACTCACTACATGTATATGAGCAAATTATCAATTCTCTGTGCCTCAGTTTCTTCCTTTGTAAAACAGATATTATCTGATCCATTGACTTGAGGCCATCAGTTAAATTAATAAACATAATAGCACTAGAACTGAGATTAACATACAGTAAATGTTAGTTATCATCAATATTAACATTCCCTATAGAATTTCCGGCAAATGTGAGCATGCCTGTAATTTGATTTTCCATTATTCTTTTTATTTATCTATATGGCATTACTGGGGGTTGAATGCAGGGTACATACCAGGCAAACACTCTATCCCTAAGCTATATACCCAACCCTTTTTATTTTGAGACATTGTCTGGCTAAGTTGCCCTAGCTGGATTCAAATTTGTGATCCTTCTGATTCAGCCTCCCTAGTGGCTGGGATTACAGATAGGTGCTACCATGCTACTTCTTTATTCTTAATCTCATACTCTTAACCATATCAAACACTCCAATCTTCCACCCTTCAGTAGTTTTATTAAAAAAGTCTTCCACTCTCCTTTCCTTCTTTGTTTTGATGCCAAACTTCTTAGATTAATCTTCTTTTTTTACCCACAACAACTTAACTATAGTTTGCTACTGAACATTTATCCCTTGGCTCTTCACTCTCTAAATCTAACACTTACTCACCAGTATATGCTATCAAATGCCAAATCCCCTTATCTAGTTTTAAGTTCTTGCCTTAGTTCTAAACATATCTACAAATATACATTTTTTTTTACTTGAGCAATTTATGACCTCACACTGATTCTTAAGGTACTTACCAACTGCCGCAGTCTGGCTGGGCACAAATGCCGCAGTCTGGCTGGGCACACAATCACGAGCCACCACACAGCTTGTAGATTCAAACAGCAACTCTTTATTCCCGAACTCACACCAGCCGTCTACAATCACGTTCTGGGGAAATCCACGTTCTCTTCCCAAATCCACCTTCTCTCCCAAATTCACCTCCACTGGGCTTCTATCTCCAAAATATACTGTCTGAATCCCATGAGAACTCAAGGGGAACTCAGGCAGCAGGATACGCCCTATTCCCAGCAGGAATAATCTTAAACCTTAAACCTGGAACCTAAACTGGGAACGCCCTAAACAAGATTATCTTAAAACCGGGAACGCCCTAATCTGCCTTGGTCCTTGAGCAAGGTCACGTACATTCAATGTCACTGCAACATGGGGTACGCTGGCAAGGAAATTGTCATACCTACTTGGCTAATGGCTCCCAGCATCCAACTATAAAAATTGTCAATTTAATCTAAAACAAAACCTACCCTTTCCTCATTCCAAGTCAGATTTCCACTATAACTTCATAACATTCCTATTTGTGGCACCGTAAGTCCTCCCAATAAGCAAATTATGCCTAATCTTACTTAAAAATTTCTGGCCTAGGAAATACAGTAATTTCCAGGCTATGATTTTACCCAGACTTTTCCAGGTCATCTCCTGATTGTAGTGAAAGTCCTCAAAATTCTACATTTACATCTTTCTTATACTAACCTTCAAACAGTTTATCACCTTATCACCCATTTTTAAAACTACCTAAACTCTGAACTGTTTGGTCCAAATCCCTTAGTCTCACATTCAAATTTTTCTATAATCAGTTCCTAAATAAACTTTCAAACACTGTAATTAAACTAATTCCCACAACTATTATAAATCTCAATCAAACTTCACTTGCCACCTAAATGTAATCAGATCAACTCTTTAAAATCACATGCTATTTTGCCACCCTGCAGTGCATTCCACATTTTCATATGTATCTCGGATTTTTTAAAGTCTCAGTTAAATTTCACCCTTTCCCATGAAATCTTACAGTCCAGGATAATCTCTTCTTCATTTTCGTTCCTAAGCTATTTATCACTCACTTGCCACTCAATTATCTAGGGCTTCATACTGTTATTTAAATGTATTTCATTTCTCATATCAGAGTAAAAACAACCCCTAAAAGGGACAATATAATGTCTCTTCACATTTACTATATCTTCATTGAAAGCTGTGCACAGGAGGAACCTAAACAAAAACTGTTGATTGTATGAAGAACACGATCACCTTCATGAAATAATAAACTACCCACTCGTGTAATCTTCTTCAAAGTAAGTATAAAAGGAAGAACAGAGATAGAAAGTTGCTAATTTGCCACCACCATAGTAATTAATGATTCACTCAAGAATCATGAATGAATGCAAAAACCATCACATGGACGTTTCTGGTGAAACAGATATTTACACAGTCTCAAAATATAACTGAACAGATTACTTATGAATTACAAAGGGAAAAAATGGTACCTTCACAGTGGAGAAATCTGGCGGACACCAAGGGATCAAAGTTAACATCACCAATAATGGGTTAAACTGACATCATGTGCCTCCTGAAGTGATGAACTGAGGACACAACATCACTTATGTATTATTCCTGCCAAAAATGCATAACCTGAAACTAGTCATGAGGAAACAATCAGAAAAATCAAAAACTGTGGGGAAGTCTAAAAAACAACTGACCTATACTCTTCAAAAACGTCAATGTGTCAAAAGATAAGTACAAGGTGAGGAACTTGAATATATGATCCTAGATTGGATCTTCGATCATAAAACAAATTATTTAGAGGACATCACTTGTACACAGGACAATTGGTGATATATCAGTATGAACTGTATAACATATTTTGTTGATATTAAACTGCCTAATTTTGATCAAAGTTCTTTGGTTACGTAAGAGAATTTCCTCATTCTTGGAAGAAACATTACTAGGTATTTTAGGGTAAATAAAATCTAAAACCTATTTTCTAATTGTTCAGTAATAAAAATATTGATAATAATAGCAGTAAATAACAAGTATCAATAGAAAGATTTACAAAATGCTAACAACTGGTAAAGGGTACACAGGAATTCATTGTACCACATTTATGAAATTTTTATGGCTTTTTTTTTCCCAAAGTAAAATTTTAAAAATGAATACCTTCGTGCCATACAAAAAAATATGGAAAGTGTTTTATGAATCTGTGATATTTTATGTTTTGTTGAACAATCTTAAAGCAAGACATTGTGGTGAAGTTATTTCACAAAGGAGATTACATTTTATTTGCAGTGTGTTTCTGTTAAAACACTTGTTCTAAAACATACATAGCTTTTTGGAATCACAGAACCATTTTATATTGTTAGCACACCATTATTTTTAAAAAATTCATGTTTACCACACAACTCAATTAAAATGTGTAAGATTAATTACAATTAGTGAAAAGTCTTGGAGAATATTTTTAAACAATATAATTTTATTATTTTCAAATATACAGGAAAAAGGAAAAAGCTAAAATGGGGTGATTAAAGCATTTTCAGAAAAAAATATTATCTCTAATAGTAAATAAATATTTGCCAACTACTAAGTCTTTGTTTCATTAATTACGATTACAGAGAACATACTTATAAGTTCACAAACTTCAACTTCTCTCAATTATCAAAAATCCTGAGTTAGCTGATTATAACTTTTGAATGAGGTTTTTGTAATATATGAATTAAAAATTTCTATAGGCTTTCTGGAGCCTTTAAAAAGAATACTTCTGATCAAAGTACAATATGGTATAAAAGATTCTCTACATTCAATACTGCATTAGCAACAGTCCTTTAAAGTCGGATACCTTATTTATGAGATGTTCGGTAACAACTTCTCTTAGTCCAGTGTAGAGCTTTTCTCCATGTTTATGCAAAACCATTGTATATGCATTTCTATAGAGCTCCTCAAAACTAAGACCACTGTTATTCTTACGCTGGATTTCTTGAATTGCATTTTTCAGAAGGTCCCAAATGCTGTTTACGTATTTTTCATCCATGGTCATCTGTAATATCCAAGAAAGAGAAGAGACAAAAAAAAAACCAATGGTTGAAAATCTTTCTTCTGTATTTGTCCATACAGTAAATTATTTTATTATATGACTATGATTATAAATCTGCATGATTTACAAGGATGTTAACCTGTCTTAACAGAAATAAAGGAATACATTTTTAAAAAGTCTCTGGAACTGAAAAAAGTAATTTTTTTTTAATCCTTTTAAGACATGCCTCTACATTCTTAACCTATGGCAGAATTCTCCACTTTAAGTAAAACCATAATGATTTATATATCTAGAAATCACTCAACCCTCCCCTCTCCCCCCCTTCTTCCAAAACACTTGTCATGGAGTATCCCAACAGCCAGCCTATTCCTGACAAGAACCTATGTAGTTTGAAAATAAATGGAGGATAACATACACCAACCAACACTGATTCACCTCCATTTAGGTTCTTAGCCATAAACTACAAGTGTACCCCCCCTCCTGCAACACCACAACCCTTCTTTTTTCTAGTCTGATTTTACTCTCCTAGATGATTTTAAATCACCTCCTATATCCTCAATCTAAAATGACTATTTCTTGTTCCACTCAGAAAACAGAAACAATCTGAAGAGATACTGCGTTAACTGACCATATCCACTGCACTTTATGCAAATACAATCTGCTAGTTCTTGTGCTCAAAGTACTGAGTTCTTTCACTCACAATTACAGGAATCAGAAACACACAAATCATATAAGAACTTGTTGGAAACATAGAATTTCAGACAAAAACAAGAGCCTACATTTGAATAAAAACTCTAGGTGATACATAATATACAATAAAATCTGATGAAGTACTTCCATCCCAAATCACCTATTCGAAGACCCCTTTTTTGGAAATCACCCTTAATACCATCAATTTTTTTCTCTACCAAAGAATTCACATTCACATGTCAGCAGTTTCACGTCTTAAAAAAAAAAAGCCTCACAATCCCTCTATTACTCAAGTACCACCTAATTTCTTACCAGGTACAGTGAAATCACAGGCAGGGAGAGAGAGATTTCTACCTTTACTGTTCCCAAGTCCTATTTTTTCCATTTATATCTTGAACCCACTCCAATAAAGCTTTCATCTTTACCATTTCACTTAAAACTACTCCCCACTGATTTCTACATTGCTATATCTAATGGTTAACATCTTAGATCTCCTCTTACTTGACTAATCTGTCAGCACTGAACAGACCTACTTCTTGAAACTGATTTTTCTTGTACCTTCCAAGCACCATAATCTCATCTTGCTTCCTATTTTACTGGTTCCTAGCTGTCAGTCTTCTTTACTTGCTTACTCATCACCAAATCTCCGTACCAAAAGGCTCTGGTTCTAGACTGCTTGTCTATCCACATTAAGTTTCTGAGTGTTAATCATCTATTCTCCTCACTCCCAATCAATCTCGGAATTTATATATCCTATTTAGCCCTCTCCCTTGCAGACCCAAGTCATTTATCTGACTACTTGAATGCCTATGAGGCATCTAAGCCTAGCAGGCATCTTCAAAGTCTCAACCTTCTAAGCCCCCACCCCCAGCTTCCCTGCAGTCTTTGATCTGATAACCTCTCAACTTCATCTTTTTCTATATTGCTCACTCTACTCCATGCAGACTAGCCTCCTTAGCTGGAATACATAAATCAGCTCATTTCAATGTCTTTGTATTTGCTACTTTCTGTCTATAATGTTCTTCCCTCAGATATCTATCTGCACAGCTCAAATCTCTGCTCAACTGTCAACAATGGAGTTTTAAATGGTCATTCTATTTATAGTAACAGACTCCCCTAACTACTGACCCTAAATTTAACCCCACATTCTTTATTTCTTGCTTTGATTTCTCATCCCTCAGCTAAATGTCAGCTTCATGAAGTCAGGGATTTTTGTTGTTGTTGTTGTTGTTGTTGTTAATGATTTTGTACAATTATTTAATTAAGAAACCATCTTTATGCCACAAAAATCTATCCAGTTCTGCACTTTTACAACCTAGGTAACATGAGTCACTGTCACACATACTTTTGACCTGAACTAGATAAAAATTAGTTAGTGGAATCCTTTCCTTTCCAAGTCACATATGATGGATGTAAGTATGAAAAAGGAAAGAGTAGGCAAGACAGATCATTCAGTCAGCCTAGCTGTAAAATACAAGTTCAACCCTATATCAAGATGCTCCTTAAGCACATGACTCAAAATGAATCTTACTTCAATCTTTTTTGGAGAGTTTAAAAAAGGAATATTTTAACAGAGCCATTTTCTTTGCTTTTACCCAAATTCTATTCAAATCTTAGGTCTATCAGAGACTTCTATCAAATGACTTTAAGAGAATCTATCCCTATGCCTACACTGCTTTCTAGTTTTATCAAATATCTTGATACATAAAATGTCATCCATAGGAAAAAAGTTACATGGATAATATATTCTAAATAAGTTTTTACACATAAAAGATATCAGCCCAAGTCATAAATGATGGCCTCAACTCCTTTGTGTGCAATGTGGTTTTAGTTTGATGAAGCATATGTTGAGGTTATAGCAAACAAAAACATTGTCTTGTGACATCATATAACGCTGAATATTCGATATAATTTCAATGAAAGACTAAAATGTGGAGCATCAACTCCAGAGACAATGTGTGTTGCTAACAGTTGAGCAAGACATTAAATAATCTTTTCAAAATTATTGAAAAGATCCAATATTAGCCAGAAAAAGCATTTAAATGTCTCTACCAATTTCTATCAGAAAATAAAGAATTTTAAATATATAAGCCAAGAGGCTTCAAATATTATACAATTATATTATAATACAAGAACTATTTTTCACCTATAAGAGGTGCTTTATAATTTAAGACTTACGTAGTATTTTTTGCACTGTTTATGCCTTACAAATAGAACACTAATGGGGCCAGAAGACAACTTATGTTCCTGCTGTGATTGCTAAGGTAAAAATATATTCAAATGAATGAGAAGAAAATAGATCCAAAGAGATTAAATGACTTACTCAAAATTAGAGCTAGATCTAAAATTCAAGTATCCCAAAATCTAAACCACTGGACTCATATTTCACTATGCTAATATGAAATAATAATAATAACTCATATTTCACTATGCTAATTATCAAAGTGTGAGTCACTGATTATCTGGGTAAACATAGTATGTACATTAGAGAATATACGTTTTGTCAGACAGGCATGGAAATGTATTATATGTTTCTTACAAACCAGGTGATCTTGAGCAAACTATTTAACTTCTGTAAGTCGTCTGAGTTCCTCACTTGCAAGGTGTGTTTAATAACTCTATCTCAAAATACTGTCATGGAAATTAAATGAGAATGTCAGTGAACAGCCTAGCCTAGTCCAGGGCACAATATAATCAATCCCCTTACACACAGATACAATCTCTTGAACTCAAGATAAACTCAACAAACAACATAAAGAAAGACAGGTTTTCAAGTTTTGCAAATAAACAAATATGTTAAAATAAAAGCACATCAAGAGCACAACTATGACAAATACAAATCAAAATAAGTCATTAATGTAGCTTTCTTTCAGAAATATTATTCCCCATATCTTATGTCTCCTAACTTTTCCAGAGCCATTTAAATCATTCTCAACCCAATAACTCCATGACTTTTTTCATACTACTCTGAGTCCCTGGTATATTTTCATTCATGATCAAAGTTACAACTACTATTCATACATGTAGGATTCTACAACTTAAGAAACACTATACAGTTTGCAAGAAATTCTAGAAGTTCCTAAAACTATTCACAAATTTTTGCAAATATGTGTGTGTGTTTCTTTTCTGGAAATTTAGATTTCCCAAAAAGTTTAGCTCACATCTTAAAGAAGAAACATCATTACTGGCTTTATGTTAATGGCTTCCAAATATATATTGCCAGCCCAGATATTTGCCTAAACTCCTCTATTGAAAACCCTCCTGTGTTATTTCCAAATCAATGCTCCTGACACAGATCAAACTCAACTTGTCCTCATCATTCAAACCTGCTCAAACCTTTCTCCTGTATTCTCTTATTCAGTCATGGGAATACAGATCACTTAATTTTACAAACCAAAAGCATTATCTTACATTCTTTCATCCTTGAAAAGTCTTCTAAAGGGATGGGGAGGAACACCTTAAAGGAAAACACACCCCTCAAGATGTTAGAAAAAGAACACTAATTTACAATACCAACTCTTATATTGTTGGTATTGTAAATTAGTACAACCATTATGTAAATCTGCATGCAGGTTCCTCAAAAGACTAGACATGGAACCAACATACGACCCAACTATACTACTCCTCATACTTATCCTAAAGACTTCAAGTCACCATATCCAGAGCAATACACGCATACCCATGTTCAGAGCAGCACAATTCACAAGAGCTGAACTATGGAACCAATCTAGATGTCCATCAGTGGATGAATCAATACAGAAAATGTGGTGTGTGTATATATGTGTATACAAACACTGGAGTTTTATTCAGCCATAAAGAAGAATAAAATTATGTCATTTGCAGGACATGGATGGAACTGGAGAGAATCATGTTAAGTGAATAAGCCAGACTCAAAGTCAAGGGTCATATGTTTTTTCTCATATGTGGAAGCTAGAGAGACGAAAGAAAAAGAAAAAGGTGGGGAAGGGGATCTCATAAAAACTAAAGGGAGATCAGTAGAGGAAAGAAACCAAGGAAACGAAAGGGGGAAATACTGGGGAATGATATTGGCAAAATTATATTGTCATATTGTATGCATGGATATGTAACAATTAATAGCAACATTAGTACAACTATAATGCCCAATTTTAAAAAATAGAAAAAATAAACAGTTAAAAAAAAAACTCCCTGCATTTTATAGAGACATCCCCAGCCCTATTTTGTATTTTATTTAGAGACAGCGTCTAACTTAGTTGCTTAGTGCCTTGATTTTTGCTGAGGCTGGCTTTGAACTTGCAATCCTGCTGTCTCAGACTCCAGAGCTGCTTCGATTA